ATTTAACTTACGGATACGAAATATATGGTGCATATTGTAATTGTAAGTATTAGTTTAAATTTATTTGACATTTGGTCCACATTTGTTGCCATTTTAGAAAATATTTTTAAAATTATAATTTATACTAGTGCTAATTAATTATTATAATGTTTTTAATTATATTTAAATAGTTTCTAATTTCATTACTAATAAACTAGTTATTAACAAAACTTAATGAGTCATTTTAAAAATAAAAATTACTTAATATTTATAAAAGATATTTTAAAATACTGAATGTCATTGATATTAAGCATTTATACTGCTATTAAAACATTTAATAGATAGTGTGGCTATTTAATTTTGCTTAGATTTTATTTTGAAAATTTATTTAAGATAATAATTAATATTTTTTTTGATAATTATATAAATATAAATACACATTTAATACTCTAAGATTTAATATTCACATTCTGCAAAAAATTGAAAATATGCTTTAATTTTAAATTACATTATCTGGTTTGATAAAAATAATTTTACTAACTAAATGTTAAATCGTAAAAAAAATATTTTATAAATAATTAGCCATTTCGTATCAGAATATAATTAAAATTTAATATGAATATTATACTATTTATGCATAATTTATACACGTTAAAATTATGACGATATACTGTATATTATAGTGAAATAATATTATTTCTATAATAAGTTAATACAAAATTTACAATACAAAGTAAAAAGTTGTAAACTATTAACTATAGTTTTATTAAGAAATTTTATCTAAGATATCTAGTCTATATATAGTTTATTTAATAAAATAATTAGTTTATTTATTCACTTTATTTTAAAAGATTTATTAGCATGCAGATTTATTGTGCCCACTATTATTAGCACTTTAATATTACATCTATAATCTTTATGATAAAACTTGCCATTAAGTTGTTTATATCTTAAATAAATTCATGTAATCTATTTCAGATGATTGTATTAATATAGTTAATAACATAATTATGTTAATATGATAATATTTATTCTTTATAACTACCTGTGCACTAATTGGCATTGAAAATCCTATTGATGTGATAGCTTATTTAATTTCACTAGAGTGGTTTCACTTTACTATTAAAAAATGATTAGTCTCAAAAAACAAGCACTTTATATTAATATTATGTGATACTGTAATTTACTAAACTATTATAAACATCAAGCAAACATACAAAAATATAATTGTTGCATAAAATAAATAGATTTATCTATAGTAAAATAAAAACAAATATAAGGTATAAGATAAAACATTAGCAATATTATATTACTAATATAACAACATTTTGTGAGATTCATATTATATTTTATTATGACAGTTACTTTTAAAATGAGTTTATTTAACTCAAATTGGGTAGTTATATTATGTTTTACATTCGTGTGTAGTTCATTTATTATTTGCCAATCACGATTTACATGTCCACCCAAATCTGCACTACAAGTAAGTTGTTTTACAATCGATATTTATTAATCCTACTATGTTAATAGTTTATTTAAACATACTCTTTGTAATAAATACTAACAATGCGGACTCATCTGCTGTACAATTCTTAAATAAATGAAACCTACATGATTATATAGGTGTACCATGCTAAATTAAGAATATCATGATCAAATAATCTATGTGAAAGTGGTATGGTCATACTGCCGTGGTCAAGTTTCGGGTATTTGTATAGCGCGCTATACAAACTCAATAAACATTTTGTAGTCATTCATTCATAATTTTTAATATTCATTTTTATAGTATTAGTAATCGTTATGACCATGATATGTTTTAATATATACAGTATAATAAGTAATTTAATGAATAAGTAACAAAAACTTTGAATTTATTTAAGAATTGTACAGCCGATGAGCCCGCATTGTAAACCTTTATTCACTAATGTTAAATTAATAAATAACAATGATATATATTTTTTAATTATTGCATTAGGGTTGCGAATGCTATCCATACACCAAATGGCTTATGTGTGGTCCCAATATAAGTTTGCCACATTTACAAAATATCCGTTTTGATAATATCATGTTAGAAAAAATTCCACCTTTGTCGAAGCTATCATTTAATAACGTTACCACTAATGTACTGCACGTGTACAACGTTACAAATATTGAACCACATTTAGCAAGCTTATATTCCTTAAATTTTATCGAGTTATTTATGCAACATTCTGATCATGATCAAATTAAATCAATGTTTCATCAAAGCGATTATCTAAAAAAGTTTTATTTAGCAAATGCCAAAATCAACAAGTTTGAAATTAAATTCAGCATGTTCCCGAATTTGTACTACGTTAATTTTTTGGAAATAAGTCAAAATTCACGCATAATAATAACCGAGCTAGGTCCCAATGTTTTTACCTCGCTCGAAAAACTTCAATTAATTAAACTTTCCAATTTAAGTATGACACAATTATCGGTAAATAGTCTACAATTTTCGATAAAATCTAAACTGATACTAGATTTGCACGAAAATTTCATAACGGAATCCGAATTGTTCAAGGCGAATTTAATTCTGGATAATGATCAAGGCGAAATCGATGTAAATCTAAGCAATAATAATATAAAATCTTTACCAAGGCACATTTTTCATCGATTTTGCACAAACAGCTCTCGAATTAGACTAAATATGCTTGGTAATCCTATCGACTGTTACCATGGCAATATCAGCTGGATATATGAACCTCATATTAAGCCTAGCGAGCATTTACTAAATGTACAATGCCGTAATTATAATTATGACGATTTATTTCAAGTTAATTTTACGACACCTTACCCATCACTAAATGAACCAGGTACATTTCTTATAAAAAAAACTATTATTACATATAATGTAATACTAAAAAATATTTCTAGATACTCGTAGTTTTAAATATTGGTGGATCATTGTACTTGTACTGGTGATAACGTTGCTAATAATTATATCGCTATATATTTGGCACAAAAAGCATTTTCAAAAAAGCGGTCATTTGTTACATTCATATCCGTTACCAGAATTTCGGGATCAATGTGAAAGTTCCCGAAATGTTCCCAGCATTAGCAGTAACTATACATTTCCTGGTAGTAATAGCAGTCAACGGGATTATTTTGTCCTTGATGACCCTCATGAACATATCTATGATTATATTCCATGTAATTTAACTAGCTCAATTAAAAATGGACCTAGGAGTAATATTCATAATAGTGATAGATTGACTAGAAAACTATCGCATGATATTATTGATAATTTAACCAGACACAACTCCTTGTAATTAAAATATCTTATTGAAATTTTTAATAACTTGCTTATTTGTTAACATTACTTTAGCAATTTAATTAAGTCGACGAGCATTGTGATTAAATTGTTTCACTAAAGATTAGGTTTAAATATTTATATAAAATATTTATTATTTAAATTAAATCCATGTAAACTATTCCTAATAATACTACTAGTATAACTAGTAACATAATTATGTTAATATGAATTTATTACTATGTTGTAGTAAATAATCATGTTTTATGTAGTAAGATTATTCATGTAGTATATCATTTAGTATCATTTAATACATGTTATTTAATTACAAACATATTTACATTAATCATATTTGATAAGGATATGTCTCACAAATTAAATAAATTATTGTATTATTATAGTTTATGTATAGCAATAACAAAAACATTTAACATTATTACCTACATTAACGTAGTAAAATGAGTGGGTTACAGTTTTGGTTTGTTAAAATAAAATTATTAACGATAGCACAAAAAACCACAATTAAAATGCATATTTAATTATAAAACTAATATTTCCATATAATTTATTATTAATATCTAATCGTTATTATCATATGACATTATGTACATTCATATGACTGGAAAACATTGGTGTAATTAATAATAACAAACATAAGGGTCGCCCCGGAAAGGGCACCCAATTGCGTGTGAAATCCAACCCAAAACAGACCTTTACCTCGGTTATAATCGCTAATCATTAATGTTATGATAGTCTTAACGTAAGACAATATAGTTGTGAATGCAATCCATGAGCATATAATTAGCGCTGAGCCGGCAATCGATGAGCTACCGGTGCTCAGCGGTGGGTATGGGCTCATAGCCGAGCATATAATTATATAGATGGCTATGAAATGAGCGAAAAATGTTAAACAATTTATAAATTGAATGGATTTTGGTTTGTTGTAAACCATCGCCAGAAAGCAGCCGAACGGATAGGACAGGCCGGACAGTATGACTATGTAGTGTAGAGTGGAGTTCCCGTAGGGCAGCGCTTAATAGGGCTGTATTTATGAGAAATAATTAGGGAACGACACTATTTTTTATTGCTTTTTATTTGTGGTGTCTCTCACTTGAATCACAGGCATGACACCAAATGTTGATAAACAGCACAAAAATATGAGACATAAGAAGTAATTGTATTTATGTTTCCCTATATTCTGGAGAAATTCTCACAAAATTCAATATTAGGATAGCTTTCCGTCTTTCTCTCTCTCTCTCCCTCTCTCTCTCCCCTCTCTCTCTCGTGTTTAAGTTTCACGTGTGACTGACATTGAGAGAGAGAGAGAGAGAGATGGACTAACCGATTCTCTCTCTCTCTCTCTCTCTCACTCACTAAAAACTAATACAAAATATAAATACATATTTCGTGGGAATCTTGTAATTAGTGTGCGAATCGATAAATAAGACATTTTCTGGTGACTTGTCGTGAAGTCGGCGAATGCTTTCGCAATCTGTTGGGCGCTCTGTTGCCTCCACAGGCCTGACCTCTCGCTTACAGACGGGCAGTATTTGTAGCAAAATCAATGCCAACCAACTGATCATTAATGTGAATAATAACGAGACGAAGAAAAATTGTGCCGAAAATCTGAGTCGCGATACGTGTTTGCCGTCGGAAACGCTCGCATTCACAGACATCTCACTATAGGCGTCACACGACTCGCTCTGTTGGACGCCTTGGAGTACAGCAAAGATTGTCGGAAGAAAACCACTCAAACCTAACAAACATCTCGTATAAATCAATACAGATTTGCAATCAACAATAATTAACTCATTATAAATGACAGCACATGATCCATTTGGTGCTTAAAAGGGTTATGTACTTTTTAAATTCAAACTGTATACATAACATAATCATTGCATCTCTAAAAGTAATAAACAATATTTGATACTATAAATGCAATGATTATGTTATGCATACAGTTTGAATTGAAGAATACATAGCCCTTTTATGCACGTTTATGATCACATGTTCTTTCAATTTAATTGCTTTTATTCTGAACTCCTGAATTTTGTACAGAATATTCTTTTCATTAACTAATTAACACATGACTTATTGGAAAACGATTTTACAACTAGTGTTCATAATAATTAATTGCGATTTTTTCTAAATTGTAAATTATTTGGTTCAATAGATTATTCTATTTGTATCCTGGTAGTAGAGAATTTGTGAAACATAAAATGCATATAATGTATATAAATCTCAATAATAGGCAATAAATCACATTTATGTTAAATGTTTACAAATGGTGGCTATCATGCAAAAGAAGGACAAATATTTTTCACTGCAAACATAACATAACCTAACCAACGCTTTCAATAATACCACATGTTTCTTACTTATGAAGAGCATTGATTAGGTTATGTATACAGTTTGCAGTGCAAAATAAATGTCCTTCTTTTGCATGTTAGCCACCAAATAGGTGTCAATCAATACCTTCGCCGATAAGATAAGGCGTGAGATAATTGTTATCAAATCTGGCCATAAATGGCAAGAATATGACGGACAACGCGCAGTCCAAGAGTGCCAAACCAAATGTGGCCACAAATAAGGGCACCGACCGCTCACTACCCACCACCACAAACGTCTTGTCCCAACACGTGATCAACAGTAGACACGATGCCAGCCCTACAGCCATAAATATATGCGAGGCATTGATCTCGTTCAGCCATTTATATCGCATGCACACGAAGTACACGATTGAACCCACATTTGCCAATTGGATCGCAAAATTCATGTCAGAGGCCAGTGATAGCGATCCACGAGCCGGTGCCAAACAAGAGAGACAACCACTGAACAGAAAGTTTTGCCATTTCTTCGAAACTTATAGAAAGCTAAATAATTTTGAGACATAAATTTATGTTGCAAATGTATGCAAGTTTGACAATATTAATTAATTGACATGTTGCATATTAATTTAGTGTTTTTGATTTAAGTGTAATCATATCGGATGATTTATGGACATGTACAATTATCACTAAAAACATATTTACTAGAAAATACTTAGCTAAAAAATTTACTACTAATTGCAATATTTAATTGAAATTATGAACTTTTTAAAGTGGTTATTGTATTTTAAATAATAGAATAATAATTTTATAACAGTTTTTAGATTAAACTCAAATAAGATTGAAATCAACGATAACACAAAAAATAATTAAAATACAATTTTAATTATAAAACAAATATATCCAGATGATTTATTAGTAAGGTTGCATGGCGCGTAATTTTGCGTAAGTTACAGCGTAAAATTACGTAATTTTACGCGTAATTTACGCTGTCAAAAATATTTTACGTAAAATGCAATTACAGTAAAATTCAATTCAAGAAAAAATAAAAATATTGTTTGTAATTTTGTTAATAAACGCCTTCTGTTGTAGAATTCACACAAAAGACCGAATCAATTGGATAATAAATGTGTGGAAAAATTAGTGGTTATTCAATCTCTGTATAATAGTTCAAATTCTAATGATATCTATTCAGATTCTTCCCATTCTGATGATTCTGATCAGGGAAATG